AAGTAGCCGTGGCAGCTTCCAGGTTCCAGTGAGATCCTGCAAGTGCCCACAAGATCGCACAGAGGCCTCACGAGATCTCGCCAGAAGCTGCAGCCGCCTGACCCTGGTAAGCAAGGCTTGGTCAGGGGTGGCAAGGGGGCAGGCAGCACGCACCCAGGGTGGCTCGTTCCCATTTCACCTCACATGGCGAAACAGGATGCCCCCCCCCGCTTGTTTCCCTAGCAGAGCTACACTTCTTAGAATGGTTCAACCCCCCTTCCCAGAGCAATCTGGAAACTGTAACTCTGTGATGGGAATGGAGAACTCCTAAAAAGCTCTCAGCTCCCTGAACAAACTACTGTTCCCTGTATTCTTTGGGAGTGCTAAAGTGGTATGAAATGGATGGTTGGGCTTTGGCTCCACTCCCTGCTTCATGCAGGAAGCCCAGAGCTGGCGTATCCATATCAGATGGTTGCCCAGCTTCTGCTTGAAGGTCTCCAACAAAGAGAGCCCACCATGACCCCTCCAGGATTCCACTGCCAAAGTGATTGTACTGTTGAGACATTTCTCCTGACATTCAGCTGAAATCTCTCCTCCAGTTACTTTAGCCCATCAGATCCACACTATTGTCATCGGGCAACAGAGAATACATCTCTTGGCTCTTTCATGAAATAGCCCCTCAATATATTTGAATAGTGATGGGGTGAACACCCTGCATTTGGGCTCAGAAAGCCAAAGAGGTCCTATTTTAAGGAGTGACCTCTAAAATATCACACCCATGTTAATCCACTGCACTAAAAAATACCCCAAATGAAGAGTCCTGTTAATCTTGAAGATTAACACATTTGGTGTGGCAGAAGGTTTCATGGGCCTATAAATCAATAAGGACCATGTCAGAATATGTATTTAGGAAGTACAAGAGCTGGTGTTCAACTAAGTTCAGATCCATTCATTAGTCCAGGTCAGTTTGCATCCAGTTCCTTAGGTAGCCCTATTCAGCAGCTTCAGCCCTTGAAGGTGTCTTGTTGCAGGATGGTGACGGGGATGGGGAACCTCAGGTCTAGGGACCAAATTCAAGCCTCCAGGCTCCTCTATCCAACCCTCACGACTCCCCCCAGACCACACCTGCTTTCCTCAGGACACACCAATTGCCAGTCTGCTTTGTGCTCTCCTCCCAGTGTGCTTCTGGATGGGATGTGTCCTTAAAGTGTTTAGATACCTCTCCCTTTCCTTGATGGAGAAATTTATATAGTGGAAGGGATGTAAAGCAAGACGCCACAGACTTTTGAGGTGGTGGTATGGCAGCCTGCTGGTATTCAAGACAAGAATGGCATCCCTTGTTCCACCTGCTTTTGCCTCTGCTTCCACCCCCACCCCCCCAGCAGGCCCTTTGGTTCCTCCCCCTTGCTTTAAAGTCTGCTGCAGGATATGCTGGGGGAGTGAAATGTTCCCCACTGGTTTCCACTGTTTTGTTTGAACTATTTATTCTGCTTTTATCTTGTGTTTTTATCTTGAGAACCTCCCTGAGAGGTTTTGGTGAAGGGTGGTATATAAATATTATAACAACAACAACACCAAAAAACCCACATCAGTTGAATATTGTGTGGCGGGACAGTGAAAGCCACACCATGTTGCCCAAAGGTAGAAACTTCCCTTACCTTCCGCAAAAGGTTCCCACTCATAGAATCTTCCCATAAAAGGCTTGTTGTTGTAGGAGGAGCACTGCAACTCTCTGATGTTTCTGTTCTCAGGACACGCCTGTCAAATAAGGAAGAATTAGATCAGAAACATGTGCAATTGACATGACTGCTGACATTCTCTCATGCATTAATGATAGATCACATCTGGAAATGTGATCTCCAACAAAGGTGTAATCAATTATTTGTGAGATATCAGTTTTGGTGCATCAGAGCCAGGGCTTCTTATACATATGGAAATTACAAACAGGCTACGCTAGTATTATGGGAAGGTTTGCTTATTTATTGGCTTTCAAAAATGTTCTCAGTGTTATTATTGTTATGTGTTTTTATTTATATGGAAAAATCAGTAAAAACATTTTTTTAAATATGTTGGATTTCAAACGTACATATTCAGGAAAAAACATAATACCTCTTATATGTTTGCATGCAACTCAGTAAAGACAAAGGCAAGTCAAAGAAAATGCATAGTAAGATATCCTCTGTGACATAGAAACAACAATATGCCACAATATATTTAAGTTATGTACAGATTATGGGGCAATTTATTACAGGTCTTGGTGGCTACTGTGGATTTCTGTGTCTCCCCCCCACCCGCAGTTTCTTACTGTCTTGGAAAGCTGTAATCAGAGGCAAAGGGGTGGTTGGAAGTGGGGTGCTGCTTAACCCTTTCTACTCCTGCTATTTGTTTGTTAAGCCCACCCACCAGCAGCAGCCATTTTCCCACTTGTAGGTGAAAAGTATTTGACCCTCAGCACATCTCTCAGTCTACCGCTTCTCTTCAAAGTAATTTACTAAAATGCATTTTGAAAACTACCTCTGCAGACCTGTCCATTGTTTGGAGCTTTTTGGCCAAGTGCCCTGAAAATGCCACCACTCTCCCAGACCCTTGTGAGTTCAGACTGGTTGGATACCTGCAAATGAGCACAGCTGTTCCAGACCTGTGCTGAGATGACACACGTTTGGAAAAGGAGCCACGTGGGTCACTTTCTAGCCAAAACAACCTCAAAAAGCAATTAGAGCCCTAAGTCCTTGCACGGTCTAGCTTGCATGGCCCTCTAGAATCTGGCAATAAACGCTCCCACCCCCACCCCCCAGCCACTCTAGCTTCCCTGGGTTTGCCGGCTTATCACTCATTAGGATTTCTGGAAACTAAATGCAAGGAGTGAAAGGGAGGAAAAAACCAGCTGACGTATCACTCGAGAAAAGTCCATCCTTCTGTGGAAATTATAAATTGGGTGAGGGGGAGGTCTTAGTCTTACTCTTATATTTCCCCCAATAATTTTGCTCAGCTACAACCTGCAGCTGACCAGCTGCATCCTGGCTCATGGAGGACCCCAGTATAAACTAGGAATGGGGGAGGGATTTGATTTGTTTGTACTTTAATAGGAAACGACCCAATTTGCACTTCTTGAACCAGTATGCAAACTGAAACACATCTACCCTTTCATTGCACTTTGCTGAAATTTGCAGTGCAGTTCTCCCAACCAAACTATGCGGACACAAATGCATATATTCATGAAAACAGCAGGCACAAATGTATTATATTGGGAGGGGGGAGGCCATCTCGGTCAGCTCAGTCAGGGGAGCTGCTGGGCAACAGAGTGGTCGATAGACCAGCAGCATCCCCAACCTGTCCTTGTAGCCTAACACGAGGTGCAGACCTTTGAGGCCCTTCCCAAGTGTTATGTACTGAGTTGAATGGGATCCAGAATGCAGCAGTCTGGTCCTAGAACAATAGGATTCAGAATGCAGCAGTCTGATTGGTCCACAGGAGCCACCCAATCCAGCTCCAGGTGGAAGAGAATCCGCAACCTGATTGGCCTACAGGAAAATCCTGGAATTAGCCAATCACGTGGGGCCCATTGTGTAAATAATGTATATAAGGCAGACATTTGGTGGGAACTTCCATTCCTCCTCACCACTATGAGCTGAATAAAGAGCATGAAATCCACTCTCGACTCCAAGTATATTTCACCAAGCTAAGAGGTTTACTGGCAAAGGAAATGGTGCTTTGTGGGCAATAGCACACTGCCAGCACCTGTCAAACCCCAGCCTAGCCTGGTGCTTTACAGAGTAGCCAGGTGGGCACAGCTGTTCAGCAACTCAGACAAATAAATTGTCCATTTCAAAAGCCTCCCTTTTTGCAAGGTTTTGACGCAGCCTCTTTCTCTCAAGGCATCTGCTACCTTTCTATGCTCATAAGATATATTGAGAGATTGTCATTTCCTTCACTGCTTCTTCAAAAACGGAGAAAGAAAAACCCTTGGGTCAACCTCATCCGGCCTTGCTGATTGGCATGTGTTAAAAGTTTTCCCAGGTAACTACCTCCAGCCATTACTTTGCTGTTAACCTCCTAGGGTCACCCTCCCCACCAGGACTATCACCTGTGAGTTACCGTACATTAAGTTACCAGAATTTCTCAGAGCTAAAACACACTGGACAGAACTGGACTGCTGGCTGTGCTGCAACAATGCAGTTAATGCCTAGGAACAAAAGATGGACCTTCGATTCACCAACCAGTCAGGAAGGATTGCTGCACACCTGAATTCACCCGACCCATGTGACTTGGATCACTGGAATGAGGCTTTCCACAGGTGCTTGTAGCAGCTGGTAGCTGCTATGCTCATCTAAGCATTGTTGGGATGAATCCATGGGACACAGAACCCCAAATCTCTTCCTAAATGCCCCAAGTGTTTCAAGTAATAAATTTTGAGGCAGGGGGACTCTGATCTTCAAGAGGACCTTGATAAGATGGTGTTGTTTAATAAATATAGATATATCTACACACACATTTTTTCTTTCTGTTTTTTTTATATCTTGAAATACATTTTTTATATCTTGAAATACAAAGCCTGAGGAATGGAAAAGGATGAGGGGCTAAATTGCTGGCCCTTGGAAGAATGGAAGAAAACCAGTTGGCAGGGGTAAGATGGAGAGATTCCTCTGCTCCCTTCTCAGATGCTCTGGGCATAGGGATTAATCTGGAGTTTGTATCGCTGCCAGGAAGTCTGGGAAATAGAATTCTTAATGTGCCCTGAATCATTTCATTCACTCCATTTTCCAGGCTCTCTGGGAGCTACGAATTCACACAAATGTATAGGACTTCCTTCATTCCAGTTCTCCCTCCTACCAACCTTACCCCAACTTAAGAATGGTGCATTTTAGGAAAAACAGGGGTCACTGGAGCCAGGTTGACCCCCTCCCAAGCCAGGAGGCTTTTTGTTCCTTGTTTTTCAAACAGCCTATGCCACATGATGTCACAATAGTGAAATGATAGAGAAGCAACCATGACTAGCAACCCAAAAAGGATGCTTGGGAAAGGCTTAAATGAAGCTTGATGGAAATCACCTCCACGTGGTAAGTTCTACATCAGGGATGGGGAACCTGCACCCAAACTCTTGACGGAAGGCACTGGCACTAATTGCGCCCCCACAAGGGATGGGAGTTGGCCCCCCCAATCCCATATCGTCCCGACCCAAAGGACCTCTGTCTTTGAAGGATTTAACTTCAACCGGCTCCCATGTAGCCATCCAGCCACAGCTTCCAGACATCTGATTAGTGTGTCTGGGGCCGAGCCGGGATGACTGTCCATCAACAGATAGAGTTGGGTGTCATCAGCATACTGATGGCAACCCAAACCAAAATTCCAGACAAGCTGGGCGAGGGAGCGCATAAAGATGTTGAAAAGCATCGGGGAGAGAATTGCGCCCTGCGGTACTCCACACACCAAGGAGTAGCGTGATGACAGCTCCCACCCCCATCCCCAGCGCCACCCTCTGTCCCCGACCAGAAAGGAATGAGCGAAGCCATTGAAGGACTGTGCCCCAAATCCCCACGTCGGCGAGGCGGTGGTCTAAAAGTTCGTGATCGACCATGTCAAAGGCTGCTGACATATCTAAGAGAATCAACAGCCCCAACCCGCCTCGATCCAGCTGCCTACGGAAATCGTCTGCTAGGGCGACCAGAGCTATCTCGGTCCCATGACCAGAGCGTAAGCTGGACTGGAATGGATCTAGAGCCGATGTATCATCCAGAAATCCACCCACCAGTTCAGCAACCGCTCTCTCAGTCACCTTACCCAGGATTGGAAGATTTGAAACTGGGCATTAATTGGATAGATCTAAAGGATCTAATGATGTTTTCTTTAAGAGCGGGCACACCACTGCCTCCTTCAGTTCCCCTGGGAATGTCCCGGTGCCAAGGGACAAATTGATGATCTCACTGAGGGGGGCCCGCACCTCATCTGATCATGCTCTAATCAGCCAGGACGGGCACGGGTCGAGAGGACAGGTGGTAGGCTTTCCGACATGGAGGAGTCTGTCCACATCGGCTGAGAGTATCCCGTCGAAGTGATCCAGTAGTGGACCTAAGGACAGTCAAGGGGCCTCCAGTTCCATTATTGTATCCAAATTAGCAGGGATGTCACGGCGGAGCATCAGGACCTTCTCTGCAAAAAAAGCTCACAAATGCCTCACAGCTATGTGCCTGATTCATATTTAAATTTGGCTGTCCCTCTAGGGACATTAGAGAGCTCATTATACTAAAAAGTTGCGCTGGGAGAGAGGTAGCGGATGCAATAGAGGCTGAGAAGTAGGATTTCTTAGCAGCCTTCATGGCCATCTCATAGATTTTCATAAACACCCTATAAGATGTTCTTGAGGCTCTGTCGCAGGCATCCTGCCATACTCGTTCTAGCCGTCTGAGGTCCCACTTCATTTTCCAGAGCTCCTCGGTAAACCAGGGGGCCCAGTTTCTGCAGGGTCACAGAGGGCGCCTAGGTGCGATCTCATCGATGGCCACCAAGAGCCGGGTATTCCAACCCTCAACAAGCTCAGTCAATGAGTCACCAGGGGGAGCAGGATCCCGCAAGGCCTGATGGAATCTATCAGGATCCATCAGCCTCCGCGGGTGAGCCCAAATAGGCTTGTCACCTAAGCAGTAGGGGCAGGAAGCCAATCCTGGCTTTCAGAACATAGTGATCAGACCATGGCACCTCCATAGTGGGGGACATGATCACATCTATGCCTGTGCTGAAGATCAGGTCCAGCGTGTGGCCTGCTGGATGTGTAGGGCCCAAAACAAACTGGGAGAGCCCTAGTGTCGCCATGGAAGACACCAGATCCAGAACCTGCAAGGAGGGGGAGGCCTCAGCATGGGCATTGAAGTCCCCCAATACCAGCAGAGTGGGGAACTCCAAGGCCCAGCCGGTCACCACCTCCAGCAGGTCTGACAAGGTGGCTGCTGGTGCGCTAGGTGGCCAGTACACCAGCGAGACAGCCAAGCTCTCCTCAGAACCCCACACCAGGCCAACACATTCAATGCCGGGGATCGATGGCAATGGCAGAGCCCTGATAGAACAATCTTCCCAGATTAACAATGCCACCCCTCCCCCCTGCCCTTAGTATGCAACTGGTGGAGGACAGAGAAACCCAGAGGCGCCATCTCTCATAAGGTAACTATTTCCCCATTGCGCACCCAGGTCTCCGTCACACAAGCCAGGTCAACCCCCTGCGAGGTAAAGAAATCTTGCAGGGTGGCGGTTTTGTTGCCTATAGAGCTGGCATTGCACAGCACCAGTGACAGAGGTGGGTAGTCCTTGCTCACCCTACCTTTGTGCCTCAGGATGGGGCGCAGACTGGAAGGGGATGAGCATATCCATATCTCATACCCCTTTGCCTATAAGATCTGCCCCCACCGCCATACCTCCCTTGCCCTTCCATGGTAGTAATTCCAAGCTCCACGCTTGCCTCCTTTGATAGCATTAGTGTTATTATTAGAGCCTTGTAAGCTGTGGTGGTGAGTATAGGGCCCACCCCCAGGTCCAAGATGGGAAATGGGCTTCAAGGGGGAGCAGTCCTCCCCAATACTCACAGGCAGATCAGCAGCAGCAATGCCCTGAGGCCTTTTTTACACACATACACACACGCAAAAGAGAACTCCACATATATATGGAGTTCTCTTTTGCTGCATCTGTATCTCTTTTGCAGAAGCAGTGACTATTTCCAGAAAAGAGGCAGCCTCAGATGGCCCATTTAACATCACAATTCAGATTCAGGACTATGAAATAAATCAGAGGAGAAGGGTCATGCAAATTCACACCCAGGCTGCCCCCTTCTTAAGTATTCTCCCCAACTAAAATTGCTATGCACACGTCAAGCACAGCAGCTGAACTTGGCCAGTCTTCCCAGATCCTCGAAGGCCAATAGCAGAAAGCAAATCAGAGGGAATAAATTTGGAAAACAGGAAAAAATGTTCCTGTCGTCGTTTTTCCAAGTTTCTGTTGGAGCTCAGTTCACAGTGAGATGCAGAAGCAATGACGTCTTTGTCTTGACTATCCCGTGGATCTTCTCTGAATGATCCCAGTCAGGCATCAACTTGAGGCCACTGCTGTTTCGAGCAAATCCTCTAACTACTTTTACAAACCCGTCCAAATATCCCTTGCCTAGAAAGTCATATTTATAGAAAATGTGTGTAATGCAAGAGGCACTTGGTTAAAGGGAATGAAAAGTTATTTCCATTTGACAAAAACTGGCTGATGGTTTGCAGGCTGTCCAAGCTCTAATCACCGTCTGGCTCCTCCATTGGCTGCACCAGGCAAAGGTGCTTAAAAATCAGCATTCCCTAACCAAGTGCCCTACAGATGTTTCTGAACTACCAGTTCCATCATCGCTGACCATTGGCCATGTTGTCTCGGGCTGATACGAGCTGAAGCCCATCAACATCCAGAGGGCACCAAATTTAAACAGGCTGATGTAGTGCCATTCCATTTATTCTGGGAAAATAAATATGGTGGCCCCCAAACAAGAGTGTGCCCTAGCAGTCCCCCCCCCAAAATGGGCAACATACCACCACAAAATATGAAAGAGGAGGCCATTTCACCTCCTGTCATTTCACCTCCTCCAGTCCAGGTGTGGATTGGTTTTGCAGCTGACCTGAGAAAATTGAGTGGCATTGTGGAATAATGATCATGTTCCAAGAAACCCTTTTGGACTTCAGTAGGGTAGAGGATCAGAGCTTTGGGGGAGCAACAGCAATATTTTAAGCAAGGTTTAAACTCCTGTATAATCTTATTTCATTAACAAAATTTGTATGCCACACCATTGTAACAAAACCTCTAAGCACTCTACAATATTGAAATTATTAATTTTTTTAAAAGTAAAAAATATTAAACAGCATTTTAAAAAATTAAATTACTAAAAAGAATTGAATTAGGAAACTTACTCATGATTGTGGTTCCACCCTCAAAAATGCAACCCAAGCCTGCCCAGAGTTTTCTCTGGGTGGTAACAAGAAGTGCTTATCTTGAGAAAAATTATAATATAAACAAAGGAGGCAAGTGAGATGAGAAGAGGAGGAGGATTACACATTCCTTGGCTGAGAAGCTTTGGAGACTCCAAAGCCAGGGACACAGGCAGTTGGCAAGAAGGATCTTGTTGACTTCTTCCTACCTGCAGATAAATCAAGGTCTGGCTTGTTTGGTGACGACGAGAACTACTGTTCCCTCAGCAAGGTCATCAACCTGCAACATGAATGCTACAGAAATGTAAGGAATTTGCGACTCACTCTCCTGTCATGAGGAGGATAGGTCTGAAAAGTAGAATCATATGAAGGGACCCCATGGTTCATCTAGTCCAACCCCGTGCAATGCAGGAATCTCGGCTAAAGCATCCATGACAGAAGGTCATCCAGCCTTTTCTTTAAAACCTCTAAGAAAGGAGAGTCCACAACCTCCTGAGGGAGACCGTTCCACTGTTGAACAGCTCTTACTGTCAGAAAGTTCTTCCTGGTGTTTATTTGGAATCTCCTTTTTGTAACTTGAAGCCATGGATTCAAGTCCTACCCTCCGGAGCAGGAGAAAACAAGCTTGTTTCTTCTTCCATGTGACAGCCCTTCAGATATTGGAAGATGGCTCCCATATCTCCTCTCAGTCTCCTCTTTTCCAGGCTAAACATACCCAGTTCCTTCAACCATTCCTCATAGATGCCATTGGACTACAACTTCCACCTCCTCTGACCATTAGCCACATAGGCTGGGATGGATGGGAGTTGCAGTCTAGCAACATACAATGAGCCAGGTGGCTGTTGAGGGGAAACACCTCTACCTGAGGCCTGGAGAAAGAGAGCTGCCACCAGTCAGCAAAGACCGTACTTTTGCAAAGCACTCTCTATAGGGGCGGACCCTTGAGTCCAGTCCAGGAGCTACAGCTAGTGCAGAAGGCTGCAGCTAAACTGCCGGTGGGGGCAGATGACTGATGGCATGGGAGTCCCATGGGATGCTATGGGAGTCCCATGGGGAGTCCCATGCTAAAATATCTGCACTGGCAGCTCATATGCTACTGGGCAAGGCTCAAGGCTCTTGTGTTATGTTAACATACAACACCCTGGATAACTCAGGTCTGGGGTGCCTTAAGAATCATCTGTCTTAGCCTGATCACTGAGATCATGCAAAGGAGCATTGCTATTTGTCCCCCATGTTACAGAAGCAGGGAAAGCAGTTATCTGGAAAACATTCACTATTTGCATTCTGGACGAGTAGAAAGAGTAGCTTTGACTCTTAAAAATTCCTACAAGGACAGTAATGGGGGGACGGAGGGGGGCATCCTGCCAGTAGAAATTTGGTCTGTCCTTCTGTCTGACACACTCTTTTTCTATGTTCAAAAAGCCTCCTCCCACCATGGGAGGAGCATTCAAATAGGCCGTCCCCTGCCTGACACCTGAAATTGTCCAGACTTGTCCCACTTAGTTCTCCTGCAGAGGTGGGGAACTGGCATCCCTCCAGATGCTCTTTGACTCCATCTCCCATCAGCTCCAACCTGAACAGCCAACAGCCAAAATGGTGGGAGCTGCAGACCAGCAACATCTGAGTGGCCACAGGTCCTCACCACCACCGTTCTGCTGTTTCTATTAAAAGCCTCTCAGAAAAACTTTTCCTTAAAGATCAGCATTTTGGCATGAGAGATATGCAGTCCTGCTGACTGATATTTCTAATCATAGGCTCCTCTAATGACCCTCCCCCCCCCTTCTGAAAGCAGCATAATGTATATTAATTTGGCACAGACACATCACGCTCAATGAATATATACCCCATTTAAACTTCATTGTCCATTGCATGCCAGCCGTGCAGGACCTAGGGGCTTGTATTCACTGACCACCAGGCAAGGGTTCAGAAAAGACATTTTCCCCCTTCCATGAAAGGGAAAGTAGCATCTTCCAAGGACAAATACTAGCAACACAATAATTGTTGTTGTCCCTCAAGCAAAATCACACTTCCTCCCCAAGCCTGTGTGGCCCAGGGCCCATTCAGCCTTGACTCCCGGCCTGTGCTGAAGACAGAGCCACCCTGACCAATGGAGGGAAAGCCTGCCTTGCTATCAGGATTCTTTCAAAGCCACAACTGGGAAGGAAGCATTGGGCAGGGATAAAGAAGTGTAACAGGAGGAAAAAGTCCTTGGAAAGGAAGCCACTGGATTCAAACTCTGCTTCTGAGCCACTTAAGAACTGAACCACTTTACTACTTTCCACCCACGTTTATTATTGAAACTCATCTTACAGTATTCATTACTACCTATTTATGGTCTTCTGATTGATTCAGAATGCTAGATGCCACTGTTATGTACTCTGTGAAACCAAAGGACACTGCAGCCTCAAGCGAGGGCTGGGCTTGTTTTTATGCCCAGAAAGCAGACCTGAGTAAAGCCTTTGGCAGAAGTCTGCATCAGCCCCCTCCCCAGCGCAGCCATGCCCCCAAGCAGACTAGTGATTGGCCCAAACTGTCGACAGCCATGGGACCCCAAAACCAGGAGCCAGGAAGCAGCAGGTGGTGGCTGGGCCACAAACACTGTGCCACCCCCAAAGAAGTGTTGAACAGTCATTCCCCATGATGGCAGTTATGGGATTGTTGTCTATCACAATGGTGTATGTTTTGACTCAACCGAGTGGGAAGTGACGGAGACAAGATGTTTGTGTTCCTGTGTTCCGTGAAGTGGGACTATTGTCCTTTGTTCTTTCTCTTTGCTGTCTGATGCTAGAGAGAGAGGGAGCCATGTTGCAGTGCTCCGTGTGTGCTTATATGTAAATACAGTAGATTAGCCCAAATGCTGAGTTGCTGAGTTCTGTTACGCAAGCTGCGAAGACACTGCGGATCCCTAAGTGTGCCGATGTCTGTTGGCATCAGCCCCTGTGATGTTTGGGCAGAAGAAAGCTTTTGAAGCTCCCGAACGAACGACCAGGAGGGAGAGAACATGCCAGTCAGGCATGTGTCTCTGCCAGGGTCCTACTTGAGAGTAGGACAAGCTCCTGACAAGAAGATGGCCAGATATTGCCCCAGTCAAGGTGCCTTTTTTGTTATTTTTAATATGTTCTTACCCACTCTGAGCACAGTTTCTGCAATGGAAGGGTGGGGAGGTAAATATTCTTTGTAATATTCTCAGTGCTCACCACTGAAAACATCTTCTCTTGAAAGCAGTCCACATGCAACTTTAATGCCCCTACAACAGGCACTGATCTCAGTGCATGGAGCACTTGCACACTCCTGCTATGCAACTATAAAGAAACTGCAAAGCACATTCTTCATGCGTTTGGCACACCACACATGGAGCTTGGCCAACAAAGTTGGCTAAGACATTTACCATTGATCCAGTGCACTATTTCTAAGCCACAAATCTGTGTCCAATCGTTCATTTTCCTTGCAAAATCAAATCCCACAGTCTCAGTCAGCCTGCCTAAGCAGTTTTACAGAAATCACTCACAAGCTAGCAGCAACACTCAAATCTATTTTTTTAGGCTTACAGCAGGAGTGTGAAGCTTCCAAGTCGTGGAAGCTGAAGTTTGGTTTTCCAACAACCAGGATCAGCTCATGTCCTCTTCCATCTGTGCTAATTTAATGGGAAGAGCACCTGTTTCCTCACGAGTGTTGCCAGACGCTAGTGTGAACCAGATCAGGGCCGACCAAGTGTACACAAGAGGCAAGATTGCAGGGCAAGATACACATTACCAGAGCCGTAGCTAAGTGATCTTGCGCCCCTGGCAGAACCGTCCAGATTGCGCCCTCTAGCCATGAACATATTAGCTGTTCTTTCCGCCTCTCCTCCAACCCCCCCCATTCAATTCCTCACACACTTCAGCTTGTAATGAATTATTTCACAGAAAATCCAATATTAAATTTATAATTTCTTAATAAAAGGTTTCAGCAAAGAAAATGACATTGTGATGTGAGTTGACAGGTTTTTTAAATGTAATTCAGTTGTAAAACAATACACAGATAGGCCTAAATGAAACAAACAAACAATATCATAGTGATTTGGTCCACAATGATAACTTTACATTATACTATATGATGTAAAATGGCATTACTTTCACAATATCTGTGTTATTTGGTTGATATAGAGTAAGAAAACTTATTATTATTCACAAGTCACAAGTTACAAGTTCTTATTCACAAGAGTTGTCATTTTTTTAAAAAAAAAAGTCAAGTTAGGCCAACTCTGGCTTTAAGTAGCAATCTCCTCAATGAAGTCTGATGTGGTCAGAACTTTATTTTTTTCACTTTAACCAAAGAAAGCTTGTTTTGGCAATGATCCACTCAGGTCACAGCAGGATTCAGCTACTGATGCTATGTACTGGAGCTGAGAGGAGGACATTTGTCAGTGTGCTATGTGATTGCTATCAAGTTGGTTGGGTTTTTTGTGTTCTTCCATTTAGTGAGCTTGTAAAACATAATAAAATTAAAGAAATGGCACAAAGAGTTGACTGGTCACCCAGAAAGCCATGTGAAATAGTACTTTTAAGTAAACAAGGCTACAGTTATGAAGAAATCAGAAGAAAAATTGGTGGAAACTTAACCAAAGGTGGCATTTCTAATTTTTTGAAGAGGTATCAGGAGACTCAGCCACTACAAAATCAGGAAGGCAGGAAAAGGTGCACAGCAGCAAGTGATGATAGAAGAAATGAGAGACTGTGCCTATGTGACAGAAGAAAATCATCTGGGTGTATACAAGATGACATGGTGCAAGGTAATGTGAAGTTGAGTGCAAGGACTGTTCAACACAGACTGCAGGAATATTGTCTAAATGCTAGAATTCCAAGGAAAAGGTCATCGTTATCTCTCAAACAAAGGTTCAAAAGAGGAAACTGGGCATGTTAACTGGACAGCGGAACAATTCGGCAGTGTAAATTACATTATGTTGCAAGCCATCCTGTAAGGGCTTTGTTCTAAAAAGCAAGATGCAAATATTTTAAAACAAAGAAACAGGTAAGCCTGGAAATACATCAGTGGTGGTGGTCATGAGCAAAAGTCATTTACATTTTTAAAAAGGGATAACCTTTTGCACACACAAGAACATCAATAAAACTTTCTGCTCCCTGCTGCACAACATTTCATTACCACATAGATCATCCAACAGCATGCACATTTTTTACTTTTGAGCAAGGGATGGGGGGGTTTATGGCATTTGCTTGACTCCAATAATAGACCATTCCCCCAGCAAAAAAAGGGGGGGGTCTTCCTAAAACCTGCATGCAATTAAAGCAACACAGAGGTTTTCTAACTGAAGTTTCTGCAAATGGAGGGTATTCAAGCAACACATCTTATATGAACTGACAAAAGAACCGAAGACGGCTTGGAATGCGTTATCACACTTTCTAAGTGTACATTTCTGCAGTCAGAAAAATGGCTGGTGCTCAGATCTGCAGGGAATTATTAAAGACACATTAAAATATATAAGGAATGCAGCAATCTGGCTTCAGATAAGATATGAGCAGATCCACATGCTCGCTCTCAACCCCACATGGAAGACACATTGGATTGGGGACAATCAATACAAACTAGAATTTGCCACAAGAAGAAAATGGCTCCTGCAAAAAAAGCTCAGCAGTAGAGCATCTGCTGTGCCTGCAGAAGGGGACCCAGGTTCAACCCCTGGCACAGCTGGAGAGACTCGGACTGAAACTTCTGGAGATCCACCAGGTGGATTTGCAGAATAGCTAAGGACTTTGGGGAGGTGATTTATTATGTGTTGGAAAATATATTTAAGGTAACTCTCCCCCAAATACCAGAAGCTTTCTTACTGTGGATAACTGGAGCAGATACCCCCCCCCCAAAGAAACAGAAAACTCTGTTTCTTTACACAACAATTGCAGCACCAATATTATACACACAAAAATGGCAAAATGAGGTGGTACCTACCAAAGAAGAATGGCAGCTGAAATTGATAGAATATGCAGAATTGGCAATTTTGACGTGTAAAATTAGAGATCAGAAAGAGACTGATTTTAAAGAAGATTGGAAAATGTTTACAGAATACTTAAAAACTCAGTGCACATATGTTAAAATGCAAATAGGATTGCAGTAAGAACAGCAGTGGGGGTGAACTTTTTGCTTTTCTTTCGTGATAAGGTGAAGGTATATAATATGCAGCATAAATTGAAATTTTGGGGGAACCATGGAGGGAGGGAGGGGAAATCAAAGGTGGAATAATTGATTGCTAAATTTGAAATGTTGTTGAATTGTTGTTATTATTATTATTGTTGAATAAAATTATATAAAAAGGGCAATACTGAACTAGATGGACCAATGGTGTACGTCAGGCTTCCTCAACTTCAGCCCTCCAGATGTTTTTGGCCTACAGCTCCCATGATCCCTAGCTAGCAGGACCAGGTCAGGGATGATGGGAAATGTAGTCTCAAAACATCTGGAGGGCCGAGGTTGAGGAAGCCTGGTGTAAGTCATAGAAGGCAGCTAAGCTCCTAAAAGAGCACTGAACATAGAAGGCTGGCTCAGACCACGTCAGACCACTGGTCCATCCAGGGCTCCCCACACCAGGGTAGCCAACATCCAAATGCTGCTGGACTATAACTCCCATCATCCTGCATCCAATAATCTATAATAATATGCGGAGGGTTACCTACACTGTCTGGCAGCATTTTCCAGAGTTTCAGGAAGGGCTCTTTCGCTAACTGATCCCTTAGCTGGAGATGTAAGAGCCTGAGCCTGGGGCCTTCTGCATACAAGCAAGGTGTCCTACTAGAGTTACGGCCCTTAAGTTCCAATTAGAGCCCCAGGAGTCTTATCTCACTTCTAAACCGGACCTTTCAGCCTTCTCTTCACATCTTCCCTACTCCCTTCCTCTGCTCTTCCATAGCCCTGGGCAAGAGCTTGAGGCGGAAGGGAACTGTGTACACCACCTTGAACTCCTTTGAAGAAAAGTGGATTATTAGATAGATAGATAGATAGATAGATAGACTGACAATGATGATGGAGGAGAATCTCGTCCATTTACTACAGAGATATACGTCCACTGCATCAGCATGTAATTCAAATGCAAGCAAAAGGTAAGGCAAACATCTCCACTCTACAAAATAAAACTGCCGTCTGATCCCTCTCTCTCTCTTTTTCTGTGGCAGCTTGGAAGAGAGTTCCACTCCACCACTTTATTCCCTACAATCACAAAGCTCACTAGGGAAAAAATCTTAGAACTCTCCCACGAAAGATCCCAGATGCAATGTGTGCAAATAGCCTCTTATACGCAACATGGATTAGAGCCATTTAGAGGGAATGATTTGTAACTGAAAACCCCTGCCTTTGCAAAACGGCTAGAGAAAGAGGAAGAGGAGGAATGCCAGAATGCTGACCTGGCCATGAAACTGAAGTTCCTTCACCATATAAGCAGAGGCAGGATTGCGTAAAAGTTATGTGCATTGAGTTTAAATGACTTTAATCAAGGATGCTGGAGAAATATTTTTGGGCACACCAAATATGAATGCCAAGTGCGTCCATACAGTTTGCAAAAGAGAGAGAGAAAATCTTGAAGACATGAAGCAATTTAGAGAAAATCCACAGGCCTGGCAACAAATGGTTCAAAAAGCTAAATGTGTCTGCTGAGTGGTAGGCGAGGAAGACGTGGACTAGGCTATAGGTATGAATACCAAGAAAGGGTGAGATGTTACGGATGGAGGAGGGAATTATACCTAGGAGAAATGAGAATAATGAAGTGAAAAACTGAGACACACACAAAAAGAGAGAGAAACTTGGGGTGAAAACTAGGAAAAATGTCTGGGATTTCAATGGAGTTGGTTGGGGGATTCTGAAAAGGGGAGGGGGAAGGATGGAATTTGATCTAGTCACACTTCATTGAGTTTTTAAAAGAACAGACTCTTTGGAGTGGCGTTAGTTTTTAATTTTCATTTCAGGGCAAAGAGAGTGGGGAGGGACACCAGCTGTTAGAGGCAGACATTTGCCACGTTTCAATAGAAACACCTCCCTTTCGGCTAAGGGGGAAACTAAAGGGAAACTTACAACTGGTCATATTTTGAGAACCTGATAGGGACACATTGCACACTTTTGTTTTTTAGGCATAAGGGTTGAACCTGCAATGTCTATACAAATCAATACACTCTACATTATTTCAGATGGAGTGGCATTTTATTTTATCCTTGTGAAATTTTGTTTTTATGTGAAATTCTGAGAATGCCTTTTTGGTGTTGTTGATTAAGCAAGCAGCTTCTCAGGTGCAAGGCTGGAAAGGAAGTAGGCAGGATGATGGTGTTCTGGTTCTTCACAGACTATGGGGAATAGGAAGGGAAGCCTTATCAGTACACTATTATTCCTCATAGAGTCTTACTCTTTATTATTTAGAGCACAGTAGTACTTCTGTTCTGGAAGTCTGTTCGACTTCTGAAACATTTGACTTCCAAACCGTGGCTTCTGATTGGCTGCAGGAAGCTCCTGCAGCCAGTCGGAAGCTGCGGAAGCCCCGTCGGACATTCGGCTTCTGAAAGAATGTTCAAAAACCAGAACACTCACTTCTGGTTTTCGATCGTTCGGGAGCCGGAACATTCGGGAGCTCCTGAGGCGTTCAGGAGCCGAGGTAGGACTGTATTTTAAATAAAATAAATAAAAACGATTCCATTTTGCCAAACCTCTGATCCATGTGTTGAATTCACAGCATATTGATCTCTCACTCACTCTCCAAAAGAGATTGTTAGTGCAGAGATTCAGGCTCTGGCCTCAGTCCCAACCAAAGTTGTTGGATCTAACTGCCATTAAAATGAATGGAACTTAGGTTGGCCACAAAGTAACTTATCCCATTCATTTCAATGGCACTTGGACATAACCAGATTTCTGAGCACTGGGACCACTATATCCACATTGAAGCCCCATGTTTTCTGGGAAACACTAGAGCAGGCGTCGGCAACGTGCAGCCTGTGGTCCGGATGCGGCCCACGAAGACCGTTTTACTGGCCCATGAGCCGAACCAAGCCGCCCGCTTGGCGAGTCCCCAACATGCTGTGCTAAACTGGCACGGGGACTTGCCGAGCTGTGCTGTAAATTGTGTCTACGCATGCGCAGATACCAGAAATCGCAACTGCGCATGTCCAGATGCCGGAAATCGCTTCTGCGCAGGTGCGATTTTCAGCATCTGGGCATGCGCAGAAGCGATTTTCGGCGCTGCAGACAGGAGCAGACATGATTGCCAGCATCGCGCTGTGCCAGTCCAGCCCACGGACAATCTCTGTGGGAGTGATCCAGCCCATGGCCGGTAAACCTTGGGATCACTAAATGAAATAGATAGATCAACATCTTATCTCATACTTAGCTATGCAATTCACTCATTCTGCCTTTATCCCTTGCCTTGCCTTGCCTTGCCTATGGATCACTCAGATCTATTTATTATTATAATATAATATTGTTATTAATGATAATAATACTGATTTTTAAACATATGAATTGCATTTATATCCCACCTTTCCCTCCAAGGACCTCAAGGTCATATACATGGCTCTACCCCTCCTCACTTAATACCACAACAACCCTGTGAGGTAGGTTGGGCTGAGAGGCAGCAACTGACCCTAGGCCCCCCAGTGAGTGGGGATTTAAATGCTGGTCGCCCAGGTCCTAGTGCAACTACTCTAACCACTACATCACATAGGTTCTCATGGCAGCATTCTGTGCATTAAAGAGTCTGGCAGGAACAGGAACCTGAGTTCAAGTTCTTCATCTGGCAGTGAGTTCCAGGACGCTTCATTCCCATGAACATATTCCAAGCTGTATATCTGACTGCTGGCCACACAGTGAACCCAAGGCTCCCATTTCTTTCCCCAGCACAGATGACAGCTTATGTTAGCTGAGATGTTAGCTGAGATGGCTTTAAAAGGGAACCAGGCAAATTAGGAGGACAAACCTTGCAGAGGCGGCTGTTCCATTAGGGCAAATGCAACCCTGTTCCACCCACTGCAGCCTACCTTCTGTCCTGGACCTTCACTGGATGCCCCTGCGTTTTAGTATTATGAGAGATCCACTTTGTCTACATCAGGCATAGTTTTATATAGCTCTGCAACTCCCACAGAATCATAGAATAATAGAGCTGGAAGGGACCCTGAGAGTCATCTAGTCCAACCCCCTGCAATGCAGGAATCACAACACTGATGACTGGCCATGCTGGCTGGGTCCAGCAGAGCCCCAGGTTCTCCATCTCTGCTCTAGATGTCTTCACATTCTGCTTCTAGGCCTTCCAGAAGCACCCGACTAGCCACAGTTGTATAAACAGGAGAGTGGATTAAGAGGACCCAGCAGGGCTCTTCCCACACAAGCCTGAGAAAGCCCCGCACGACTCTTGGGTGCTGCGCAAGTGCACTTACACTGCTCATTACAGAGAAGGAAATGCTTCCCCTCTTGAGACCCATCTTTACCTCTGGCAAGCCTCAACACTTTCCCTCTAAGTTAGCGACTTTTTTATATATAAAAAAGTTTTGTTTGTTTTAATTATCCTTTTCCCTTCTCGTTTCAAATCGTTTGTAGGTTCTAAGCAATCAGCAAGGACTTACTTGCCCTGGTTTTTCTTTGTAACTTGTACAACACCTAGCACAACTTCAAGCACTTGATCAAAAACACTACAAAATAAGACTTTCTTAACCAATCACCAGTCTCTATTTATTATTAATCACACAAGCTGAAAAATGTAAGCTCAAACTTCACATGCACCAAAGTGTCAGTCACAAGAAAGCAAGTTCTGCCTTAAATGAAAAAACAATAAAAATGTAACGACGAGGAAATGACCTAATGGACCAAAGCAGATTGACTTAATTTGTTATTAATTAACTGCCCCAAGCAGAATCCATAGGGGGAAACGACCCAACACTAGGATTCCAAATAACAGTTCTTTCCCCTTGATAAATTATATTAACCTCATGGAATGTTCCAAATAAAAGAGAAAACTCAGTGTTCTCTGGATGCCAGCGGGGGGCCTCAAAACATTACAGCTAATAAATTAAATTACTGCCCAATTGTATGAACTGGGAGGTCATGTACTATATGGAGAAACACTATAGATTTCCCAGCATCAAAAGCTTGCTCCTTTTCCTAGCTTTCTGATTTGGCTTTTGGGAAGTTCCTCTAGGGCCGGCTTCACCATACTGATGCCCTCCAAAAGTTCTGAACTACAGCTCCCATCAGCCACAGGGAGCAGAGCCAAGGGCTGATGGGAGTTGTGGTCCAAAACATCTGGAGTGTGTCAGGCTGGCAAAGTCTGATCAATTGTATTGGTGGGGCAGAAACCAGAAGAATCTAGGAAGAGCCCTGCTGGATGAGGCCAATGGCCATCGAGTCCAGCATCCCACTCTCACTCTCAAGAAGGATCTTGACCGGCTGGGAGAGATGCCTTGGACTCCAGGGCTGCCCTGCTGTGCGGAACAAGCCCTTCTTGAGATGACCATGTTGTAAGATCCGGACTCTCTCCATCCAAATTCAGGTGAATAAATCATATTTCCTAAAGCTTCAACAGCCCCTGCCGTGTCTTGATTCTCAAAGGCACACAGCCCCTGGGTGAGTGCCTGGACCCCCCTGGAATCTTGCTGCAGCTCAGCAGAGAGCAGGGGTGGCACCCAACTTTTATAATGAAATTATGTGGGTGGTTCTCACCCAGCCAAGCAATTACTACATTCTTTCAGTAGCTCTTAACAGTCCAATGAATCCCGCAAAGATCCTAAAAGCAAAAGCAAAGGGAGCACCACTTACATTTGTGTTGCAGAGTTTGTGCTGCTTATAGGCTCCAGTGCACACGATTGCCGAGGTCCTCTGAGTGGGAGTCTGGCTTTGAACTGCCCTGTGAGCAACAGGAACATGAGAGACCAGCTCTGTGCCATGGAACAAACTCTGAGATGCTGGAAAGGCTTGCAAGTGGGGCCCAGCCTGGGGGTAAACAGAGTCACTTGAAACCTGAGTCCTGGGTGGGGGCCTGGAGTCCTCTTGGTATAAGTTTCCATGGCGAGGCGAAGGGTTAAAAGGGTGAGCAAAAGGGCTCTGAACCGCTGCGGCCCATTGCTGGCTGGCTGCATTCCGGGTTGACTGCCGCTGCCTGCGTGGCTTGTTGGGCTCCTGCCCCGTGTCAGTCTGCAGAGGTAGGATATAGGGCACTTTTCCGTAGCCATACTTCCCAGGTCCAATGGGGCTTTTATTTCTGCCTCTGAAGACAAGAGGGGCAGGGTGTGAACATGAACAGGTTAGCTCAGCAACAATTGAAAGCAAGCATGAATTTATGGATAGTTTCAAGGAGAAGTCCAGGTTAGGGGGATCCTAGCATCCTCGCAGGATGTCCTCAGGTTGCCAGCCCTGCTCACTCCCCCAGGTCATTGGCTCAACTCAAAGGGGTGCACCACAGAGGTTTCTGGAAGTCGCATCATCCCCAACTGCTGCGCATGTGGGCTGTGTCCGATGGAAACTGTAGTCTGGCAACATCTGGAGGGTACCATTTTGGCTGCCCCCAGCTTAGCTGGTGGAAGCAGCTGCCTATGGGAAGCCATCCACCATCTGGCCTTGTTCAAGGTGCTTGTGAGTAACTCTGTGTTGGGTATTCCAGGGTACTGTGGGGATCAAAATGGCTGGTAGCTTCCCACTGCAAGGAATCAGGTAGGTGGCCAGAAGATTTGCAGAAGAAGGGGGTTTTAGCCTAGGCTCTTGGGTCCAGCACCTGCCCCAGGAGAGCAAATGTTGCCGTCTCTCCAGTGCACTTTGAAACCTTTTAACAGCCTAGATGTCCAAGAAAGGACCAGTGCCCAAAACCCTTCCTGCCTCCACCACTGTTACATATCCCTGAAGACTTTGCTTCAACCATGGGACATTGTATTGCTTTAGGTTGCAATAAATTTCCTCCGTGTCAACGGCGGCAGCCAACATGGAGACCTCCAGATGTTGCTCCAGTTTCCAGCATTGCTGGCCTACTGGCCATGCTGTGGAGGACACCATGTGAGCTACTCCTGATTCAGAAGTCAAGAGGCTTTCGTTCTGCATGAAGATATATTTGGAGGGGAAACACTGTTGTACTACCATAAAATAAATAAACAGCAAATCCTACACACTGCTTGATTGCAGCAAAACCTCTAAGTGGTTTACATGAAATATTAAAATTATCAGCAAAAACAGATTTAAAAAAGTAATTAAAAACATTTAAAATTCAATTTATAAAAACTTAAAAGCAGCCTGCTGCATCAGGCCAGTGGCCCCTCTAGTCCAGCATCCTGCTCTCACAATGGCCAACAGATGCCTGTGGGAAACCAGCAAGCGGGATTCGAACTCAAGGGCACTCACTTGTCATTCAGCTGGTTTTCAGAATCATTGTTACCTCTGGTTCCCTCCAACTTCCAGTTCTTCAGACTGGAGCAACAAAGAACAAGCAGAGGCTCCATGTTCACAGAAGGGATTATGCAAAGGTTGTGTATGTGATCGTAACACGTAGCTCAGGGGTAGAGCATTTGCCTTGCAAGCAGAAGGTCCCAAGTTCAGTCCCCAGCATCTCCAGGTGGGGCTGGGGCAAACGCCTACCTGAGCCCCTGGAGAGCTGCTGCCAGTCAGTGTATGCAGTACTGAGCAAGATGGACCAATGGTCTGGCTCGGTATAAGGGAGCTTCCTATGTTCCTCTTTCACTAGGACTTACTTGACAAATTCTGCTCACTCAGCATACAAAAGGGGTTCAATGGGTAATTAACCCAGCTACTCCCCAAAACCAGCAATGTAAATCCAGCCTTGAAATTGAATGGGAGCCAGAGGAGCTGTCATAGCACAGGTGAAACAAGCGCCAACTTCCTATCCCACAATGCAGCAGAGCTCTTTTTATGCCCTGGGAGGAAACATGCACTTGGAGATGATGCCACCACGGAGCCAAGCATGCCTTCTCTCCTGATGCAAGCCGGGTCTTAAGGCCTTGAGAGTGCCTCAGCTAGGGTCTCCTTTGTTCAGAGCCAGCCCCCAACCCCAACTCCCTAAAGCAACACCTTCTTCAGCTAAAACAAAAGCATGGGACAAACATTTCTGATATGCATTTTCAGTGGGAAAGGCAAGCTCCAAGCCTCAGTTCAGAGGCTCTTCCCAAATTCCTTGTCCCGGGAGTGTTTGTTTTTTTACTCACCCTCTCCCATTGCCAGTCAGGGTGCTTGCTACACTGACGTCTTTGAGATCATTTACATAACCTTCCAGCATTTGGGGTTTATGATCCATTTCCACCCTTTAAGCATGTATGAACCAGAGTGTTGTTCACCAGCCCTAAGAGAAACTGGCACTCAGGACTTGTTCACATGGCTTCGTTTGTTCTTTTGAACAAACTGCAACAGAGGCACCTTTTTCAATTTTCTGTCATGACATATGGAACTGCTCTGGGCTTGAAAGAGAGGGAGTTAAAATGACAAGGCAAAAATGGGGAATGATGAAAGAAAGAAAATGGCAACCTATGTGGATCAATGGTTCCCAAACCTTGGGGAGGGGGCCCTGCCTATAAAGTCATCCCCAGCGCCCCTCCCCCAATAAAAAGCATAATTCAGAATAGTGGTTTGCATGACCCTCTAAGGAAGATAATAACACAATAAAGTTCAAAAGAGTAACAATGAATTGCCCATTTATTCAAAAACCAGTTAAAACTATTTAGTTTAATTCATTCAACAAAATGTATGAACTTAATCTAGTGATACCATCTTTTTAAGTCTGGTAGTCAACTGCACAAACCTGCCACCTGCTTGGCCCTTCCTGGTACCCCCCCCCGGGGGGGGCAGTACTGTCCAGTTGGGCTGCTCAGATAGCACACAACCCTTTCACTGGCTGCAAATGAGTGAATTCTTTCGGCAGCTGGATACTTGTGAGTCAAGGCCCCACTCCCTGCTTTGTGATGAAATAAGACACATGGACACAAGTTAATGGGCTAAAAAAGGCCACAACTTTATTGGTTACAGAATGTGAGTGGTATTGGCTTAGGCATTGGATCCCAACCTACTATACTTGACTCCTGCCCGCTCTGCAGGGAGTCACACGAGGGTTAACAGCCTGTAGGGGGAGCTTGTTGGTGCAAATCAACTGGAAGCTTTCCCCTAGAGTCACCAGAGGGTCGTGCCATGGCCCTAGCCACCACCTGGGCATCAGACAGGAACCACAACCACCGGATTCCTTTAACGGAACACCCTTCAAAGGGAGGGGTAGGTGATGGCCACAACCTCGCCTCCGACACAACACATTTTTCAATGCCTAACCACCAAACCTTACAAAGTTGTGACGATTTGCTACCAGGTAGGCAAAAAAACCAAATGGCTGGTGCCAATCTGCCAAGTGGGGGAAAAAATCCTACCAGGCCCCTTGAACAGGAGACCAACCGAGGTCCATAGCAAGGTTAGGTGCAGAAGCGAAACCTAGAGGGAGGGAGGGCAGGTGATCCGAGGAAGCCGGAAGAAAACAAGGATGAGCTTGTGGGCCCGTGGCCGTTTAAATGCAGCTAAACCACGCCCCCCCCAGCCAGCCAGATTGCAGAGTGATGCAGGGGGGGCCCGGCCACGCCCCCCTGCGAGTGTGGGAAGCAATTTCCGCTCACAACCCCTCCTCCCTGGAAGAGGAGAGGCTTTCCTGGAAGTTCTCAGACTTCCATTTGGTTTGCAGCCAGCCACCATTTTGTTTTGCCCAGAAATAACAACGAATTCAACTGAGCTGAAATCTTAACTCCGGGGAGGGGGGACTGGATGCCTTCTAGATGCCACTGGACTGTTATGAGAGGTTTCTGTATCCAACCAAGTGCCATCCAGAAGAAAATCAGAGAAAACAAAATGGAGCAAATTTGGAAAGATATAAGTACAAATGAGAAAGAACTGTCAAAAAAACCCCATAAACGAGACCACAAAACAAAATATCAAAATGTTGCAAACCAAATTCTCCATATTTTTAAACCATGAAATTGAACATAAATTAAAATGGTTAAAACAAAAGAGTTTCAAATTTGCTAACAAACTGGGTAGAATGCTGGCTTGGCAGTTAAAGAAGAAACAAAAAGAAAAGACGATAGGAAAACTCATAAAAGGAAGGAAAACAATTGATGAACCTGAGGAAATAAGCAAAAGTTATACAAAATATTTTAAAGATCTCTACCAAGCAAGAAAGGAAGATGATGAGAAAATAGAAAAATACTTCAGTTAAAGTAAATTTCCAAAAATCACAAATGATAAAATTGAATATTTAAACTCTCCCATAAAAATGATGGAAATTCACCAAGCAATTACAAAGGCAAATCTAGAAAATCTCCCAGAACGGACAGACTCTTGGCAATTTACTAAAAGAAGTTGGAAAATGTGCTTTCATCACCACTTAAGACATAATATACTAAAGGAGGGGCTGATACCAGAGTCATGGCAGGAAGCATTCATAACGTTGATCACAAACAAGGGAACGGATTTGACATCAATCAAAAACTATAGACCTATATCACTCTTGTACAATGATTATAAACACTTTGCAGATGTGGTGGCAAACAGGTTAAAGAAAATACAGTGGTACCTCGCAAGATGAATGCCTCGCAAGACAAAAAACTCGCTAGACGAAAGGGTTTTTTGTTTTTTGAGCTGCTTCGCAAGACGATTTTTGCTATGGGCTTGCTTCGCAAGACGATTTTTGCTATGGGCTTGCTTCGCAAGACGGAAACGTCTTGCAAGTTTGTTTCCTTTTTCTTAACACCGTTAATACAGTTGTGACTTGACTTCGAGGAGCAACTCATAGAACATGGTGTAGTAGCCTTTTTTGAGGTTTTTAAAGACTTTGGTGATTTTTGAAGCTTTTCCAAAACTTTCCCGACACCGTGCTTCGCAAGACGAAAAAAATCGCAAGACGACAAAACTCGCGGAATGAATTAATTTCGTCTTGCGAGGCACCACTGTATTGAAAGACCAATAAATGAAGACCAAGCCAGGTCTCTACTGGGTAAACAAATGAGCAACAACATGAGAATGGTGATCAATATTCTAGACTATTTAGAGATGAGACCCGGCAAGCAAGCAGCATTGATGCTTTTAGATGCTGAAAAAGCATTTGACAATGTTTTATGGAAATTTATGGAAAGAACTATAGAATCAATGGGGTTAGGGGAAATATTCAGAAGGGGAATAAGGCAATTTATAAGAACCAAAAAGCTAAATCGATTATAAATAATGAATTATCAGAGAGCTTCAAAATAAGGAAAAGAACCAGACAAGGTTGCCCACTCTCTCCATTATTGTTTACCACGGTTCTGGAATTACTGGTGACAATAAGAATGGACTCAGAAATAAAAGGAATTACACTAGGAAATAAATCCTTTAAGTTAAAAGCCTTTGTGAACGTTCTTATTATAACAACAGAAAATCCATTAGAAAGCGTGCCAAAATCTCTGGAAAGAATGTATGAATTCGGTCAGATGTCAGGATTTAAAATGAACTAAAGCAAAACGAAATTTTTGTTAAAAAAATATGTGGGACCAAGAAAAGCAGGAATTACAAACAAAGTCTGGTTTGATGCTAACGGGAAAAAAACAGAATACCTAGGAATTTGGGTTTCAGCAAAAAACATCAATTTATTTAATGATAACTATAATAAGATATGGAAAGAGATAAAAAAGATTTGGAAGTTTGGAACAGATTAAACCTGTCACTTTGGGGGAGAATCTCAACAATTATGATGAATGTGCTTCCAAAAATGTTGTTTACATTTCAGATGATACCAAATGGGGGGGACGACGACTGGGTGCTTTAGGAATTGGCAGAAGCAGTTAGGAACAGAACAATTGGCTGGAACAGATTAAACCTGTCACTTTGGGGGAGAATCTCAACAAAACCCACTAAGTTTTGTTGCAGAAATAGGTGAAAGCCACATTTCCTTCGTCAGAAAAGCATCTGAAAACAAAGGCGCGTCTTTAATTCTCTAAAGGAGCACAAATCCTAGCCTGGAACCCCCTGGAATCTTGCTACCGCTTGGCTGAGAGTGGCGCCTGGCTTTCGTAATAGTATGCTACAGGATGAACAAAACATATTTATTTTTAAATACCTGGCAAGCATTTATTTTATATATTAATGATGATAGCAATTTCCAATTGCCTCCTGTGAAATATGCTATGAGTCATTTATCAGCTTTAAGTGAGTTGAGCATAACGCCTTGAGGACAATATCCTGATAATTATATATAAAACATTTTTTTAAAATGTTAACTACATCACAGCACTAATAGTAATATTTTTTTTCCAGAGAATGTGGCTGAAACAACCCACTTTATATTTCGTGTGTGTGTTTTCATTTTCATTCAGTTCATTCTCTTAGCTTTTTCTTTTTCTTTAAAAATAATGTATATTACTTTTATAGGTTACAAAAAGAGAAAAAAGAGAAGAAAAAAACAGAAAAAAAGACAAAGAAGGAAAACAAAAAGAAAAAAACAATACAATACAATATGTAAACAATGCAAAACACAACCTAAACTCAAAAACTAAACACATTAAACTAAACTAAACAAGCCCCACTAAACTAAACAA